ACCCGACTTATCAGATCTTCCTTCCCATTTGCCATATCAATTACTTCTCTAGGAACCTTTGACTGCTTTCCATCTATCATGTGAATCTTTCTCAGTTAAGTGGTGTGATTCATCAAAGATTACATGTATGCTTTCTTCAACACATTGAGTCCTTTTGTTATAGACCTTGTATGATTTGCTTTGTGAAGAATATCCAAGAAAGATCCCTTCATCACTTTTGGCATCAAATTTTCCCAGCGCTTCCTTACCGTTATTGAGAACAAAATATTTACAACCAAGCGTTCTCAATTAAGTCATCTTGGGTTTCCTCTCGTTTAGTAATTCATATAGGGTCTTGTTTAAGAGGGACCTGATCATGCACCTGTTTATCAAATAGCAAGCAGTGTTTACTGCCTCAACCCAAAAGCTTTTTGGTACACCACTGTCGATCAGCATTGTCTTTGCCATGTCTTCAAGAGTCCTATTTTTCCTCTCCACAATACCATTTTGTTGGGGTGTTCTGAGAGCTGAAAAATTATGACTTATACCATTTTTAGCACAAAAATCATCAAATTTTGCATTGTCGAACTCTGTACAATGATCAGATCTTATGCTTATAACATTATGGCTCATTTTCACTTAAATCTGCTTCACAAAAGCAGTAAAGACAGGAAAAGTTTCATCCTTAGTTATGAGGAACAAGGTCCATGTGAATTTGGAGTAGTCATCCACAATGACAAAAATGTATTTCTTTCCTCCTTTATTGGGCACCCTCATAGGTCCACACAGATCCATACGAAGAAGATCCAGTGGCCTTGAGATGCTTACTTCCTTTTTGGCTTGAATGAGGACTTGACTTGCTTTCCTTTCACACATGCATCACACACTTTGTGATCCTTGAATCTTGACTTTGGCAGCCCACGGACCAGAACCTTCTTAACTAGCTTGTTCAGCAAAGAGAAGCTTGTATGTCCCAATCTTTTGTGCCACAGTTCAGCATCATCATCAACAACACTCAAACATATAAGATTTCCATTGTTTAAGGACACAAAGTCAGCTACGTAGATGTTTTTAAATCTTTTTGCCATCAGAACCACTTCACCAATCACAAGATTGGTGATTGTGCAAGTCTTTGATAAGAACTCCACTTTATTTCCTTTGTCGCAGATTTGAGAGACACTCAGCAAGTTGTATTTGAGGCCGTTCACATAATATACATTCTCAATTGAGTGAGTGAGTATCTTCCCGGCTCTTCCAACTCCCATAATGTATCCCTTTTTGCCATTGCCAAAGGACACACTCCCACAGTGCAGGGGCTTTGAGTGAAAGAAAATCATCAGTGCTTCCAGTCATATGCTTAGAGCAACCGTTATCCATACACCATCTTTGGTTGCTTTCTTTCACTGCTCCATGCAAATGGAAATCAGAGATTAGACTTAGGAACTCGGACAAGTTTGGGTCCCTTGTAGTGAGAAAAGAGGCGAATTAAACTTCTTATTGTCCAAGCAGGCATCACACATTTTTTATTGGAGAGATCATGTTCCTTAGCAGTAGTTAATTTTTCAACAAAAACTTTATTTTTCTGTTAAGACTGAAATCTAGCTTTACATGAGTCTTTAAAATGCCTAGTGTTACCATAATGAGTGTAAAGTCAGTTATCAGGGACAATAACATACTTGCTATGTGGGTTGTAAGGGACTTTTTCTTTTTGGAACCCAATTCCTTGCATGTTCCCCCCTCCCTNGTAATTTTTAACCCTGCCCAGATCTTTCTGAAGTTGTCTATTTCTTTCAAGTTCAGCACACAGACTAAATTTAACCATTTTGAGCTCATTTTCAAGTTTAAGGTGTGCCTCACTCGCTATTTTCTTACCTTTAAAGTGTTTCCAGAACTGTTTTCCCTTTCTAATTCTTCTACTGTTTCCTTTAGATCCATAACTATCACCAACAAGTCATCTCTCTCATGCTCGACCTTTTTAATTTTCTCAGTTAGAGCATCCTTTTCTTTCTTTAAGTCCTCAATGGTTTCTTTTAAATCAACAACTACGACTACCAAATCATCTCTCTCACATTCTACCTCTTCTAGTTCTACAGTTAACACATTTTTTTTTATCATTGATAAGGTTATGATAAGCATCAATCAGAACATTTGCTAAGGATACATGCTTCTTTTGAGAGTAAGACTTCAAGTTTCTTTGAACGTCTAGAAAGTTTACCTCAGTGTCATCATCATCTTTATCCTCGTCAGATTTTGCTATCAGGGCAAAGATGGAGCCATATTTAGTTGCTTCGCTTTCAACGGCCATCATGGGGGTTTCGCCTTATTCATCATCTCCCTCAGATTCACTGGAGAAATCTCCCCATACAGCAAGAGTTCGTTTCACAACATTGTCAACGACATCTTTTCTCTTGAATTTCCTGTCAAGAATCGGGTTCCTCTTGGCTGTTTTGTCTGTGTTGTGCTTGTGCTGGTCTTGCTTGTGGAGAGGACAATCTTTGATGAAATGTCCTGGATTCCCACATTTATGACAATAATCATAGCCTTTTGGTCTACTGGAGCTTCCCTTTTTCGGAATACCACCATTTCTGCGAACCATTTTCTGAAACCTCCTTATCAAATAGGCCATGTCAACATCCTCACCACTTGAGTCACTGTTGACTGCCTTGAGAACCAGGTTCTTCTCCTTTTTGGGTTCTCTTCTTTCATGGTTCTTCTTTTTCTTCATTTCGTAGGTCTTCAGATTTCCAATGAGTTCGTCAATAGTAAGCTTTTGCAGATCTTTTGCCTCTGTGATAACATTTACTTTACTTTCCTAAGAACCAGGTAATACACTGAGTATTTTCCTGACAAGTTTGTTCCTTAGAATGATCTCTCCTAGAGAGTGAAGCTCATTGATGATGGAAGTAAAGCGAGTATGCATGTCCTGAATGGACTCATCATCATTCATCCTGAAGAGTTCATATTTAGTAGTGAGCATGTTGATCTTTGACTGCTTGACTTGAGTTGTTCCTTCATGTGCGGTTTGGAGAGCCTCCCATATCTCCTTGGCAGATTGACAAGCTAAAATTCGGTTATACTCATTTGGTCCAATACCACAAACGAGGATCTTCTTTGCTCGGAAGTTTTTCTCTATAACTTTTGTGGTCGGCATCGTTGTATTCCTTCCTTGTCTTTGGAACTGTCACTGCTGGCTCGCCAATGGTCTTCATAGGGACGAAAGGACCATCGCAGATGACATCCCAAAAAATCTGAATCTTCAGCCATGATAAAATCATACATCCTTATCTTCCACCATCTATAGTATTGTCCATTGAATCTTGGTGGTCTGTAGGTTGATTGACCTTCTTCAAAGTTTGGTGGAGCAGCCATGTGGATCTTTTTCAGGCGTTAGCCTTATAGAAAGAACTCGTTTTGATACCAATTGATGTAAACTAAGAGTCCACCAAACTGTATAGAGAACCTAGTTCTCTATCAGTTCCCACAGAACACACACAACAGTAAGTAAATGACACAATAATATTTCATGTGGAAAAACTCACGGGATTAAAATCACGACCTACACTCGTAGGATTTCAACTTCACTAACCGAGCAAACTTTAGATTACAACCTATTGTAACCTAGGAATTAAACTCTTAATCTCTCACCTTTTGCAATAACTCTATTGCAAGCCTCTTTGTAATAACTCTATTACAAAGCTCACCACTTTGACTAACTCTAGCCAAACACAAACACACGATTTATGGTTTTACAGAAGATATCCTACAAGATGCTTCTAACTAAGCTGAGTAGGAATTACAAGTAAATAACATTAACAAAGATACAACAATACTAAGGACACACGATAAACTCAGTGCTGGGATCTAGTCCTTTGTTATGTTGCTACTTTGTTCTTCAAGCCTTGGAGTCAATGAAGAGCGGTAGCACACTTGAAAGAGACTTAATGATTTAGAGTTTGCAAGTGTGTATGTTTTCCCTTGGCTCACGTTGGTAATATATAAGTGAGGTCATTGGGATGATGTAAGCAAGTAGCTGGTACAAGCATGCTCCATAAAGTGACTGTTGCACTGTTGCGTGTGCAGAGCAATAGTGCAACGATTTTAACAACTGTATGGAGTTGACTTGTACTGTGACCGGAGGAACTGATAGCCATCTGTTCCCTCTGCCATTTTTTTGACTGATAATATTGGAACTTATGCCAGACATATGACTTGTTGTTCTGAGCACTTTGAGGCTGTGTAACAAGTTCCCTGTCTGGTTCTCACATAATGTTTGTTAAACTATCAAAATATAAATTCACACAACTTATCATTTCCTTCTTTCATTTTTCATCTTTGTCTTTTCTTTGACTCTTTGGTTGTTTTTGTGCTCCAGATTTTGTACTACGCTACATATCCTGCATTAGGCAAAATAGCACATTTTCAGCTGTAGATATAGTTGAACAAAAAAGAGTTGAATAATTATTTTAAATAAACAATTATATGTATATAGTAATATATTTGGACGAACTAAATGAAGTTTCTACATTCATCTTTGCTTCTGTTTTTACCACACAATGACAAAATCATATTTAAAGTTGGCATAACCCGTCATAATAAAAATTTACTCATATCGAATGTTTATATTAAATTATAGTAGCATGACACGTACTCGAGCAAAAAATTATCTCAATCAATTATAGTTTATATATTTTTACTTTATAAATCACTTGTTCATGAAAAGTTGATATGATTTAACGTATATATTCAATACAAATAAGTTTTTATAGCATAATCTTTTTACATCCTCAAAAGTACAAACTTTTCTATTTCCCTTAATGGGATTTTTTTGAGGAAGAAAATGACAAAAATCCATTTGAATATACTTTTTTTTTTTTTTTTTTTATTTTCTAAAATAAAGGGGCAAAGTGGAAAAATAAAAGAATATAAGTAAAATTAATTAAGGGAGCAAGACAAATAGGAATCGAACACGACGCACCAAATCAGCAAAGAAACGTTCGTTGGCAGAGAAGCAAAGAAAAAGACTTTCCTTTTCCTTTGAGCCAAAACTAAAGCCAAAAGCTTTGAGAAGAGGGCAAAAAAGAAGAACCCCAAAAAAAGAAAGGAAAAAAAAGGTCCAAAGCCAAAGGCAAAATAATAAATAAAGGAAACATCTTTCAAATTTCATTCATCACAACAAGAAGAAAAAATCTCTCTGTCTTCAGGTCAGTTTCAAAGATCTCATTTTTTTCTGCTTTTTGATGTTTAGTTTATTTTTCTCCCTTTGTTTTGATAGATCTATGAATTGTTTCGAGAATTAGGTATTATTGGTTTTCTGTTGTTATAATTGTGGAATTAATTGTTTTGTGAGTTCGTTTGTTGTTTAGAGATCAGCTTTGCTGGGTTAATTTTATGTTGGGGGATTTATATCTTTTTGCTTTGTTGAATCATTATAGAGAATTATTTGATATTATGGTGGATAAAATGATTGTCTGTGGTTTTTTGAGAAGGGTATCACATAAACTATTGGAAAATTGAGTCTTTGGAGTTATAATTACAAAAAAATTGAGTCTTTGGAATTACAACTACAAAAAAATTGAGTCTTTGCCTCTTTGGAGTTACAATAAAGAAAAAAAGTTGAGTCTTTGGAGTTGTTTTCTTCATAATAATTAGGTATCTTTAAGGATGTTGAAGTTTTGTGAAACCCCTTTTTGTTTACTTGGGTGTTACCTTGTTTTTTTATGTATTTTGGGATGGAAAAAATGGTGCTTTTGCATTTGTCTTATAGGATGTTGAAGTTTTATCAGTAGCCTTTTGATTTATTGGGTTTAATGTTGTGTTTACGTGCCATGGAGGTGGAGAATTGCTTGTGGTTGTGTATTGGAAGCTAGAATTAGGCATATTAACTCTGAAAGTAAAGCCAAGTTCTTGTTTTCGGTCTTCTACTTTGATAGGTTTTGCTGTTAAAACATATTTTTTGTCAAATTGAACATGTGAGATGAGTCTGAACATTTTAAAAGACGGTGTTCAAAGAACGTTTGAGTATAAGTGTGATAATGTTGCTTGTTTTGCATTAGCATAGTTGTGAATTTGATCCAGTTTCAAATTTGCTAACCAGATGTTTGGCTTTCACAACTTCTGTTGTCCCAATCTTGCACTTTTTACTAAATTTTGGTAGTTAGTTTGTTTTGATTTTTGCAAAGTTTTCTGTTGGTTGTATCTGATGCAGCTGACTGTGTTCTCTTTATCTTGTGTTCTTATGTTGTGTGAAGAAGGGCTTTTGCTGAGGATTAATTGAATAATCTTCTGTAGTTACCTAAATTTGGTAAGATTTATGCTTGTTTTCGTAGCTGGCAAAGTGGAGGATTTCTCCTTCTTTTATATTATTCTTTTCTCTGGAAAGGAAGGTGCAGGAAGCTTAATTGTTTTATTGAAGAGGTGAAGTGAGTTTAGACGGGATCGTGGTGCCTATATGCAGACAATGCAAATCTAGGTTCAGTCTGTCAGTGATGTAACATGTTGATTTGATGTGCTATGAGAGTGTTATGGGATTAGATACTTAACAAAGTGAAAGCAAGTCCTATCCAACAATTGTGAGACAAGTAATATTATATGGGTGTGAATGTTAGGTCTCCAAGGCAGCACATATCTACAAGATGAATGCCATACAAAATGTGGAAGTTTAGATGGATCTACAAGCATATAAAATTCGACAAGATCAAGGATGATTAAACGAAAAAGATTATAGATGATCACATCCGACAGAGGGTGCAAATAGTGCATGTACAGGGTAAAGTGAGATAAGCTCATCCGTCAGCTGAGATGGTTTGGTCCTGTCGTACATAGACCTTTCATATGCAGTGCTCTGTAAGTGTGACAATGTGATGAAAATCACTTCAAGAGATGCTGTCTCAAAAGCTAAGGATAGAGCACAACAGAAGCAAAGGCTGATCTATATAAGCAATACTAACTAGTTGGATTAAGGCTTAATCATTGTTACACTTAAGTTAGAGTGTTAGATCAAGTGTTCATTAGGAGCGCTTTTCCTTCAGTTAGAAACTCATATATCCGTGTTAGGATACATGTGAGATTAAGGAAGATTTGGTTTCAGAAAACCTCGAATTTGTCTTGAAATACAATTTTTTCGTATAGAGGATCTATATAAACAACTCCAAGTTCTCGAACTATTCAGGATTAAGGTGTAGTTTCCTGTTAATGCTTATCTGTAGATGAATCTTTTGCAGGAAAGCTGACGGTATGGAGCATGATGAGACAGGATGCCAATCCCATCCAGAAGGCCCTATCTTATGCATTAACAACTGCGGTTTCTTTGGAAGTGCTGCAAACATGAATATGTGCTCCAAGTGTTACAAGGACACTATTTTGAAACAGGAACAAGCAAAGCTTGCAGCGACATCAATTGAAAACCTTGTGAATGGATCAATTGCTAGTGAGAAGGGGCCAGTCGTTGTTGGCTCTGTAGACGTGCAACCTGCCATGCTGGAAACAAAATCTGTTGTCGTTTTGTCATCACCTCCATCTTCAAGTGCTGGTGAGGCTGCTGAATTGAAGGCTAAGGTGGGCCCGAGTCGGTGCAGCTCTTGCAAGAAAAAGGTTGGTTTGACTGGATTCAAATGCCGCTGTGGTAACCTTTACTGTGGATCACACCGCTACTCAGACAAACATGACTGCCAGTTTGACTACCGCTCTGCTGGTCGTGATGCCATAGCGAAGGCCAATCCTGTTGTGAAGGCTGAAAAACTTGACAAGATCTAGAATGGGTTATTGGTCTCAAATTTCGTGCTTTCCTTTTAGTTCAAAAGAGGACTTCCTCTGATTGGCTACCTATCACAGGCAATTTAAAAACATATACAGGCGGAAGAACTCCTGTTCATTGTCATAGGTAGAATTTGTTTGTTGACTCCAGTTTCAAGTCTTTGTATGTACTGGTTTGGTCAATATGAATTAGGTTTGTTATGTGTCATTCTTGTTCCCATGGAAATTGTAATTTGGCATTGTAAATTATTCGCATGGATCTTCTATCTGGCTTAACTTGCTCCAGTGTGTAGTGTGTTATCTCTAACTTACCTTGCTTTCTTGGTGTTTTGTGTCGCTTTTATCTTTCTAAAAGACCTGTTTTGCTACTGGATTTACTTATAGTGGTGTTGAAGTATTTGTGTGCATGTGTTTTGGGCTAATCATGTTTCGCGAGTGCACATGAGTTTTGAATAAGCTTGCTTTTCAGTTGGTGGTTGTTTAAACTGACGGCTAGTAGCTAATTTCACAGCACGAACCCGTAATATATANCTGTGAAGATAGGTGAAAAGCTGAAATAATCAACGTTGGGCAATACTTAAAACTTAAATGAATGGATCAGTTGCACATTTCGTGTAACCATGGTTAAGTGATAAAATTGCAACAAGATACATATTTTGGATCATTGGTTAGGTGTAAATACCGAGTGAGTGCATGTAGATTTTTTCATTATAATATCACCTCAAATAAGTAAGAAAGGACGCGATTGGCTGACATTCATCTTAAAACTCGTCAATTTATGATGAATTCTTAATACCTCCTCGAGTCTTTCACAATATTTAAGATGATTATGCTCTGCACCTTCAAGCCAGACATACAACAAATGTATATCTTCAAGTTGATTTCTAATAATCCTACCTAGTGGGGTCTGAGGAGGTTAGTGTGTATGCAGACCTTATCCTTATCCTTGTAGGGTAGAGAGGTTGTTTCCAATAGAATCTCCTCTCAACGAGTTCGGGAATTGCCATATTATTATATCTAAAGCTGTTTACAAATAGGTTCGACAGATTGAACCAAAATATAACCTCCTTGTGTTGCCAACAAGAACTTGCAAAACTCATCAGCCAACTAATGTTTCACCAAAAAAACTCACCTCTCATCTTTAAAGTGAGCAAATCCTAAATGCTACTCACTGAAGAAGATTAACATAAAGCTATTCAAGAACTTGATCACACTGAAATGCCACTGGATTCAGCTTCTAAGTACTTGCACATCCGTTCCATAACATCTCTACCTTTCGCACTGTTTGCCTGGAACTTCTCCACACATTTCTGCTCTATTTTCTCTGCCATAGAAGCCAGTGCTGACAAGGGTTTAATCTTAATACTGGTTTCCTGCTTGCAGACAGTCCATAACTTTGGATTCTCAGGATGTGGATCGTATCTAATTTTCTCCTCCACCTCAATGAAGTTCTCGAGACTGATGTTGCGAGTAGAGAGTTGCATTGACCGAGATTGTGCATCGACAACAGTTGATTCAACACAGTGGCAGATATCTTGACCAATGATCTTCCGAATAAACCAGGGCCCTGGTGCATGAATATTGATGGCACGAGTTGTGTAGAGCTTCCCCGAGCTGGGATCAATCTTGTGATTCAAAGTATCAACCTCGAGGATGTGGGATAGGGCGCGTTTGTTCTCAGGATCAGCAAACTTGCGCCACGATGCAGAAGTCACTCGTTCCCATGGGTGCCTGTAAATATGCTCTTGTGAATATGCTCTGACCATCTTGTTCCTCTTGGTGTTTGAAACTTGAACAAGCAAGCATTCAGCAAGTTATGTAAATTCAAAATTTTGTTGCAGAATCGAGTTTGCTGCAAACTAATCAATATATACTTTTGTATATAAAAAAAGTTTCACTCTAAATCACATCTCATGCCATTTAGAAGCATATACTGTCTAGCAACTTCATCTTTGACTTCCTTTCCACGAGCAATCATATACACACAGAAGTATGGTTTTATGAGAATATAACATTAATTCCCCAAAAATTGGAGCACACTGGTAGCAAAGCCAGAGACACATTATCAGACACATCTATTAAGTTTGATAGAGGAGAATATCAGATGCTTGAACGTTTAAAAGCTAAATTAGATGCTAATAAAAGACAGAGAATCTAGAAATGTTCTAATGGTTCGAGAATCCTAAAAGGGTTGCTTACAGACCAATCAAATTGCAAACGGCAATTAAAGATGAATTTTGAAGAGAAACCCCAAAGGATCTTTAAAAGCTTCACACACATCACCAATCCGCTCACAAAAACCAAATTTAGGGCCAATCCAGTTGAGGAAAACGTGACTGATATTTTTAAATCATTCTCAGCACAAACAGAACAAATTGGAATCATGCTAGATTACGAAAGGGTCTATAAAAGGTTAATGAAGCTAACCTATCGAACCATCAAACTGCAATAACATAAATAAGATCAAATTCGAAACATAAAACCAAACTCAGGAAGAACTTCAGAGCGTTTGTTACAACAGCTGAACAATAGAACACACACAGATGTTTGAGCAATTTACTAGGTAAGATCAAGAGCATGCAAAAAAAGAAGGGAAAATTAAGAAATGTTCCAATAACTTGAATTACCAAGAAGGCTACCTTCGACTCATAAAATAACAAGAGTACAAACCAAGATCAAATTCAAAATTGACTTTTCTTCAAGAACTTCACACCTATTGCTAATGAACTCGCAGAAACATGAATTCAATATGGTAAATGAAACTTCAAAGAACAGCTTTGGAGCAACTTATAGACCAATTGAATTAACAGAACAACAATCAAAGATCAAATTTCCACAGAAACCCAAATGGGTCCTTCAAGAATCTTCACACCCAGAACATTCATAGCAACACAAAATCCATTTTTTCACAAGAAGCTCAGCTATAGCTGAACCATCCACATGTTTGCAAATATAAATAATGCTTTTAGAGGTTTTGAAGCTACCTTTATAACTCATCAAAGTGAAATAACACCAATCACATTTCATATTCAAACAGACACCTCATAAGGGCGATCCTCAAAATTATTCACAGCATCATCAGTAATCCATTTGAAGGGGAGCCTTGGAGCAACGGTAAAGTTGTCTCCGTGTGACCTAAGGTCACAGGTTTGAACTGTGTAAGCAGCGCATTAGGATAGACTGTCTACGTCACACCCTTGGGGTGCGGCCCTTCCCTGAATCCTGCGTGAGCGTGAGATACTTTGTGCACCGAGCTACCCCTTTTTATCATCATTAATTTATTAAGAGAAAAACACTAATTCAAGACCAATTTTTCAAGAATTTCATTGCAAAAGCTAAAATTTTGAACATTATTCATCTGCATTCAGCTTAACACCTCAAATATAAATTAGCCACAAATGTCCGTAAGACTTGAAAATCATTTAGCAGCTACCCATAAACCATATCACAACAACACAAATCCATACCAAAAAAGATATTCAAGAAATTAATTTTTTTTAAAAGAATCAAGCACAAACCTCAAAAGGACCTTTAAGAATTTTCACACTCATTACTCATCCACTCACAAAAAAGACAACTTTATACCATTTCTCTCAATAATTCCAATACAGCAGCTGTAGCAGATAATTTTTGAAAAAAAAATAAAAAAATCAAACATAAACCTCAAAAGGAGACAAATACGAATCAATTCTTTCAACAATTTCAATGCAGCAGCTGAAGCATACAATTGAAAAGAATCAAACATAAACCTCAAAAGGAGACAAATACGAATCAATTCTTTCAACAATTTCAATGCAGCAGCTGAAGCATACAATTGAAAAGAATCAAACATAAACCTCAAAAGGGTCATTAAGAATTTTCACGTCCATTACTAATCCACTCACGAAAAAGGTAATTTCTTACCAATTCTCTCAAGAATTTCAATGCAGCAGCTGAAGCATACAATTGAAAAGAATCAAACATAAACCTCAAAAGGAGACAAATACGAATCAATTCTTTCAACAATTTCAATGCAGCAGCTGAAGCAAACAATTGATACAAACATAAATTGACAATTCAAAAAAAATAATCAATTTAAATTTTATTTAAAAAAAAAAAAGGGCTAACCGATCAACTTTCTTGTTGCACAAGTTGTAAAGCCGCCTTGTACCCAATAACTGTATTAATATCTGTAATATGTAATATGCTGGCAAAGGTCCAAATATGTCCTTGTACTATAGAAAATTGAGCACATTTGCCCTTCGTTAATATTTTAGCTCAAATATGCTCTTACCGTCACATAGTTGGTCTATATATGCCCTTAGAGTTACACAGTTGGCCCATATATGCCTTTTCGAAACGGAATTCACCCAAACTAATTAGCTCTTTCTTTAATTGTATTAAATTATATTACAAACACTATTTTCTTTTTATTAGTACTTTTTTTTACCTTTCTCTTTCCTTTCTTCTTTTTTCTTTTCTTCTCTTTTTTTTTCCTTTTTCTTTCTCCCTTATCCGTTTCCTCCATTACCGATGTCTTCTCCATTTTCGTCATCAATTTCACTTGACAAAACTCATGAATTCCAATTACTAAGAAAATTCTCCTAATCAAGTTCCAATTTCACTAGCCCTCTAAATAAATGAAATTAAATTATTCCAAAAATTATGGTTTAAACTTTAAAATAAAAAAATTATCTCAACCTTTAACAATACTCAAAAGACCAAAAATTTTAAATTGTTTCCAAAAAGATAATTTAATGATTAAAAGCCTGGAGTTCAAGTTGTAGTGTTATAAATTTGAATTGTTAGTCTTTTTTCAGCTGGACATTTTCTATTTTTTTTATTAACTATATAAATTATGGGTGTACATGGAACGGGTTGGTTCGATTTTTATCAAAATCAAACCAAACCAATTATATCGGTTTGGATTGTTCGATTTTGCTTGATTTTCGGATTTTTTATTACATAAATATTATTTCAATCTTACTTTGTTAAATTTTTTAGAACTAAATATATATTCAGTAAAAATTAAAAAATTGAAAAACATATGATCTATAAAAATATTCTTATGGGAAAATTTTCTTAGTAATTGGAATTTATGAGTTTTGTCATGTAAAATTGGTGATGAAAATGGAGAAGACATCAGTAATGGAGGAAATCGGATAAGGGAGAAAGAAAAAGGAAAAAAAAAAGAGAAGAAAAGAAAAAAGAAGAAAGAAAAGAGAAAAGTAAAGAAAAAAAAAGTACTAATAAAAAGAAAATAGTGTTTGTAATATAATTTAATACAATTAACGAAAGAGCTAATTAGTTTGGGTGGATTCCGTTTCGAAAAAGGCATATATGACCAACTGTGTTACTCTAAGGGCATATATGGACCGACTATGTGACGGTAAGGGCATATTTGAGCTAAAGTATTAACGAATGGCAAATATGCTCAAATTCGTATAATATAAGGGCATATTTGGACCTTTTCCGTTTAGAAAAAGAAAAAGGAGGGCAGTTTATGACACCGGAGTATGTACACCGTAGAGAATTATCCAATAGAATACGGACACGTGTGGCGGTTAAATATAACTACTGAAAAATGATTTTTGAGCTAAATTTTTCTGATATCTCAATTAAATATATATTTATTTTCCTTTTAACATAAATATTAGATAATTAGAAATGACAACAAATGCAATAAAATTTATAATGTTTTATAATAAAAGATGTTTTTATTGCGTAATAATAATTAAAAACATTTAAATCATACCTAAAAAGATTTCTTGATTCTCAAATAATAAGCGTATCATATAAAATAAAATATTGCTAAAGTGAAACGCGATATGTTGAAGATCAAGAAGGAATTAATTTTATTTTTTCGAAATTTGCCCTTATTTACATATTTCAATGTGTCAATGTAACAATTAATTAAGATTAATTTAGTGAATACATCTCTTTTTATCTAGGAATTCGTATTTTCTTAATGGATGTGCCAAAAATATGAAATGACCACTTATTGTGGACGGGAGTGAATACCATTTTAGTTAGGTACAAGATTTTAAGACATTCATGAACACAGCTTAACCAATAATCAATATATATAATACCACTTATCCAAGCATTCGTTACTTTATTTTTTTTGTTTATTGCTACAACTATGCTTATTTGAGTCGTAAATTTTTCGGAAATAACCTCTCTATCCGCACAAGATAGAGATAAGATTTGCGTACACATTACCCTCTCCAAATCTCACTTTGTGGTATTTCATGAGTTTGTTGTTGTTGTATTATTTTCGTATCCCACCGTGAAGTATTTCGAAGAATAATTGAAAAGCTCTAGTGTAATTGTTTGGTTAAATCTTTTCAAAAAATATTCTTGTGAGGGGAAAATCTAAAGGTAATTTTGAATAGCTAGTAGCTTCATGCAACTCTTATTTTGGTTTGGGCATCTTGTAAGCTTTAGACCCATTTTAGAATTTTATTTATATATTAGCCACTAGACAAGTGCTACCGAGTGGTATAGTTGCTTAAAAAAAAAAGGTTAATTTTGAATCATACACCATAAGAGTTAAGACAACCTTCCAAAACTTTACACCTACCAATAAATGTTTTTCTTACTCTATAACACAAATAATAACTTTTTATAAAGGAATATCCACTACAATTAAAGATGTTTTTTGCTATCTTCGCATAAATTTAAAACTAGTATGCCCACTCTTGCTACTTAATTGGGGGAGTAAAAAATGATACAATCATCCACAAATAATACTCATTTGAATACTAAAATTCAAAATTTGTAAATAGATAACCACCAATATTCCATATTGAAATGTTATTATCAAAATTCAGGTGAAATATTTAAAACATTTATTTGAGGAATGTATCAAATAAAATAATTATAATCTTCAATTTTTTTAAAGTAAAATTCAAACTAAATACAACTTCAAAAACTTTTTTTCTTTTAACTTCAATCAAATGTTGTCCAAATGACAGCTAAATAATTAGATACTACTTAAAATAAACAATGGCTAAAGTCATAAGTTGTGACCATTACCACTAGGTCCACCACTGACTGTGACATACAACCCCATGGGGTTACCGTCATAATAGCAAAAGTACAACTAAAAATTCCCAAAACACAAAACCAAAAAAAAACAAAAAAAGACTTTTCACTAACTTATGGTAATAGTTCCAATGACAACAATACCCTTGTATGCTTATCAAATTTACAACACAATACCCTCAGTCCCCATCCCAGAATAATAAGCAAAGAAAAGTAAAAACTACCTAAAATCAACCACCCACCCCCATTTACCCCCCCGCCCCCAGCGCTCAGACCTTAAGAATTTTAGCAGCTCTAACAACAGGATTTTCCCTCGCAATCGCTTCACGACCAACTGCTTTATAATCGTAGCTACAGCCATGGCGATCGGAATACCGATGCTCCGAGCAGAAAACATCGCCGCACCGGCAGCGGAATCCGATCAATCCTACTTTCCTCCGGCATCCTATACCTGAGCACCGATTCGCCTCCCTCGGTCTCTTCACCGACCGTCTAATCTCCTCCAGATCCGATTTTTCCGGCGATATAGCTCCGGAGCTAGATCTCGAATCATCGCTTCCAGAGAGTTTTAGATCTGAAATCTCCGGCGTTTTAACGGAACTGGTCGACGGCGATGTCGGTTTCTGGTTATCGGCGTGAGGTTGTGAGGATACTGGTAGATTTGGTAGAGGTATGGATTGTGGAACCTTCAGCTCAGTTTCTTCTTTTTCTCTCTTCTGCGCCATGATGTTTGAGAGAGATTTTGAGCTTTTTGCTCAATGGAAAAGATTGGAGTTGACGAAATGGAAATGGAAATGAAAATAGAAAATAGAGAGAGAGGAATGGGTGAGAAAGATAAGGCGTGTTTGGTTGGGTTATTAGAGATAGAGAAATTAGATTAAGAAAGAGATAGTACAAAAATTCAATCTTCATATACTACGCTTTTACTGACATACTTAAATTTAATCAATATTTAACTTAAATCAAATACTTAATTTTCAAATCATAAATTAAATCACTTTTTTTTACTTTTTAGACCGCGCCAGAAACTATTTACGTTCAGTAACTAAAAAAAGTATATAAAATTTGTATAATTTTTATATATAACATACATAATGTATATATACACAAAAAATATATATATTTTCAGTTATTATTTTCAGAACAACTATACAATGTCATTTTTCTTATACTAAATTGAAAATATATATCAACTTGATCATGATTTAATGATTTCGTGTGATTGTATAAAATAATTTAGCACATATAAAAAAATTATTAAAATATATAATTTTAAATATATTATGACATTTCCATAACTATAATATATGGCAATAAGTATATTACGTATATACAAAATATAACTTGCTCTTATATTTATTTATAGAATGAATGATTTCGGCTTTTCTAATGGTCAGGGGGAGCACGCGGCCTTGAAAGGAACGTGGCATACACGCGTTTGTGGCTGAATTAACGATGATACTCTTTGATCAAAGTTAGGACCGTTTGGCCATAGATTTTGCCAAAATAAATTTGTATTTTATTTGACAAATACATGTTTGGCCATATATTTTACCTACATTTTGGCAAAATCCTATTAAGCTGGTTTTGGGCCAAAATATCACTATTACATTTTTTAAAAATTGCCCCAAACTTTTGTATTTTATAAAAGAACTCACCATTTATTATTTTATAACAATGTTGCTTCGTCTTCTCGGTCATGTGATAGTGTATCATGTAGTTCATTATAAAAATGATAATTTTGTATCAAATTTATTTATGTTCAGGACTATGGTTTGCGATAATATAATGAATGTTATTGATAATGTTACTGTTGGGTATTTGTGATAGTTTTTAGAACTTGTAGGTATAAGTCATGTTTCATGTTTTTCCAAAATAAATTTGGGAAATATGTTTTGAAAACTAATGTCCAGACACATTTTCATCTTCAAACCAAACTTCACCCAAATCAAATTTTTCAAAATAAATTTGGGAAATATGTTTTGAAAACTAATGTCCAGACACATTTTCATCTTCAAACCAAACTTCACCCAAATCAAATTTTTCAAAATAAATTTGGGAATCTATGGCCAAACGCTAGCTTATAATAAGGTGAACCTTTTGTATTTTTATTTATATCTGCTTAGTCTGATCTTAGTTAAAAACCTTGACTTTATTAAGTTCAACTCTATTTTATAGTTGATGTTTAATCATATCCAAATTTAAGTTTTAATTCATTTATATAAATCAATCACATATTGTATACAGTCAAAACCGGTTTTCGACCTTCGAATGATTAGTCATGATTGGAACGTAATGGACCGAAGGTCGTCTTCATAATATAGAAATGAGATCCGTAGGCAGGTTACCAAGCTCAAGTTTCGGGGACCAATTAAGTACCGAGCTTGAAGTCAATACCGAGCTCGATTCCAAATCGAACTATGATGTGAGGCGGTGTTATCGAGCTTAAGAGCCAGAGACCGACCAATATCGAGCCAAAGTCAATACCGGGCCCCGAGCCAATATCGAACTCGAGCCAATATCGAGCTCTAAACCTGGAAATCGATCAATACCAAGTCCGATCAAGATCGAGCCAAGAGACAAGAGCCGTTACAGCCGCACTAAGGGAGAGAATCTCGGCGAAAATTAGAGAAAAGCTAATCTATCATGGGATCTCCACTATGTATTTTTAATTATATCTAAAGCAGGATCCCTCCACTATAAGAGGAATAGTTATTATTTCTGTAGAGGGGGGACATCAAGGCATTCATATACTCTCATATTATTGATATGCACAGAGAAAAACATACTGTTATTCATATAGAGATTATCCCTTTTGGGGCTTAGTATATTGATTCATCTTGCTTGTTTATAAAATATTTTTCACTCAGTTTTGTTTGTATTTCATTCTTTATATAGTCAATACTCAATATATTTCTATTTACTTTCCGATTTGTGCCAAGTTATACCACGTATCCTTAGAACTACGTATAAATTTAACTCTATCCATTTTTCGGGTAAACAGTTTGGCGCCCACCGTGGGGTTAAGGATAACAGTGGCTGTTTGGTACGAATCTCTACAAAATACACAATTTTATACTTGCTCTTGGGAGTATATTTGATTTTAGGTTGAAAACGACGAATTCTCAATTAATGGCCCTACCTATCGACAACGAAGCTGGCCTTCAAGATGAGAACAACAACTTAACCCCCGGGGGTGGAAGGCCACTCGTCTATCCTGTTGGAGCTCGGGTCGAAGAGCCAATAGACGTCAATTCACATGCGGCCATCGAGGCGAACAAACGTTCCGACCCTAAAAATAGCATTCATGGTGGAACTCGGTCTGCTGCTCGAAATACCCAAAATGCTGAGGAAAACGGAATCAGTTTGCGTATGATCTTTGAGATGTTACAAGCTCAACAAGTAGCAATAGCCCAGTTGTAGAGCCAAACCCAAGCACCGACCAGACTCGAGCCCAGTTCATCCCGAGAAGTCACCCACAAAACGGGTCCAGCTATAGTAAGGTCAAATGAGCAAGAATCGGGGACTAATCCCAAAATTATTAAGATGCTCGAAGAACTGACAAAACGAATAGAGTTAGGAGAAAGGAGGATCGAGGCAAACGACAAAAAAATGGAAACATATAACTCCAGGGTTGATCAGATCCCGGGGGCACCACCGATATTGAAGGGATTAGATTTTAAAAAATTCATACAAAAGCCTTTCCCCCTGAGCGTGTGTCACGACCCAAACCGATAGGCCGTGACGAGTGCCCGAGTTCTGCCTATCGAACACCCATAAGCATTCGTCTGGGATATAAACATGAAATAAGTGTAGGTCATGCATTACGTTTGGAAATAAACTCTTAATTCATATGAAAAACCTTCGCGGGTTAACATGCCCAAAAGTNAAATATACATGACTTTCTACAGACCTCTATTAAAGTGTACAACTGTATAAAGGACGGGACTGGGCCATCGTACCCATATATGTATGCAAACACATCGTACCAAAACTCAAAGCAGCTCCGGATCAAATAGAGCACACCAACTCTTGTTGATCAAGGATCCTAAGAAGGGGGACCGTCAGCCTATCTACCTGCTGACGGTCTAGATTCCAAAAAATTCATACAAAAGCCTTTCCCCCCGAGCGTGTGTCACGACCCAAACCGATAGGTCGTGACGAGTGCTCGAGTTCTACCTATCGAACACCCATAAGCATTTGTCTGGGATATAAACATGAAATAAGTGTAGGTCATGCATTACGTCTGGAAATAAACTCTTAATTAATATGAACAACCTACGTGGAAAAATATACATGACTTTCTACAGACCTCTATTAGAGTGTACAACTGTATAAAGGACGGGACTGGGCCCCATCGTACCCATATATGTATGCAAACACATCGTACCGAAACTCAAAGCAGCTCGAGATCAAATAGAGCACACCAACTCTCGTTGATCAAGGATCCTAAGAAGGGGGACCGTCAGCCTGTCTACCTGCACCTGCGGGCATGAAACACAGCGTCCCCAAGCAAAGGGACGTCAGTATGAATAATGTACTGAGTATGTAAGGCATGAAAATCAGTACATAAAAGACATAGATGAAATATGAGGTAAAGAACTTCACCCGTGAGTCTAAAAAACTTTGTAAATCCTGAAACATTTATAATGTCATGCACGTACGTGTAAATGTCGTGTCATGCATAGGTATATGTGTACATAACTTCATCAAGCCTCTAAGGGCATCCCATTATATCATCTCGGCCATTGTGGGCAAAATCATCAACATATACCAGCTGATCAGGTGGTGGTGCGTATATAACGCCGTAACCTTTTTCCATATCCTATATACATATAATATACGCGTATATAACGCCATCTGGTCATGGTTCAATGTACTAAATGAATGAAATGCATAAGAAATACGTTAATAAGATTTCTCGGAATGTTATAAAATCAATATGCCCTTCGGATAAACTTTATTAACTACGTATTTTTCTGAGACCCATAAACAGAAAATATAATAATAATTCACATAGGAAATCAAGAACATAAGCATCTCTAGTATTTCTATAAATAGAGTCATTTATGAAAGTTGTGCGTTTACTCGTTTCGTTTGTATCGTATGTATCATGCCAAAAGGAAAGAAGGAATAGCCTTAACATACCTCAAGTCGTCAATGCAAATCAACAACAAGCTTATGGCAACTAGCGCGCCAACCCTATAACAAATAAATATGTGTACAATTTAGATGGAGGTAGTATATTATGTATATCAAATGATAACTCGATTCTAAAATAAAACGAGCAGCATTTCCCCTGATTTTACTGCTCCCTCAAGCCTATTATAGGCGAGATACAAACATAATACAATAAGCAACTCAAAACCAACCTAATTACAATTCGGGACCTTCAATACAACAAAACCCCCAAATATACCATAATACACCCAATCAACAAGTTATCAATTAGCATGTAACTACAATGATGAGTGACCAACCTACTACCCTACCACATGTGGCATTTATCCACGCCCTTTTTATCCTTCCAAACTCCATAAATCAGCAGCACAATAGATAGCCCAAAAGCAACACGAAACAACCCACAAAACAGTCCACTACCAGTCAAATAACTCGAACTCACGGCTTCCGATCACCGTCCCGTGAGGTCTAACTATTAGGAAATGACTTTATCAATTTTTCTTGATATTTTAAAGCTTAAATACAGACATTAGAAATTTTATTAACTTTTAAATACATTCCAAAACTCAAACTACAAAAAAAAAAGAGAAGCGACATAGCGATACTTACGTCATAGGGATCGTTCTGATGTTATCGCTTCTCGATTTTGTACCCGGGATGTTAGTATTATTTAAAGCACATTAAAGAG